CACCCATATAAATAATCAAGTGGAAAAGCATAATTTTTCTTTGCTTACATTCAGAGTTTCTGTACTCAGGGGGCCTCTGACTTGGCTAGCAAGCAACGGTCAGAAGGCTGGTTTGTTTACTTTAAATGTTACCTCAGCGCCAGCAAATGGTTCTTGTCCAGTCATTTGATCTTTGAAGCTTAAATAACTATTAATGTTAAGTTGTTTGAAAACGGAAAGCTCACTAGAGGACAAATGTCTTTGAAATGATACTTTACTTCGGGAAATAATAGATCCATAGGAATGCTCTAAATGGATTCTGCTGAGCTTCTATGCAGGAAACAGATGACCTGATCTATGAGTAGATTGCTGGAAAATGGACTCCTTTCTATTCCTGCTTGCTGGCTGAGTGATCTTGGCAAGCCACTTCACCTCTGTGTGTCTCAGTTTCCCCATCTGTAAAATGGGGATAATGATACTGACCTCCTTTGTAAAGTGCTTAGAGATCTACCAATGAAATGTGCTATATAAGAGTGAGGTGTATAATTTGAAAGCGATTTGGCTAAATGTAGCTAATCCTTTTCTTACTTAAAGGCTTCTTACCAGAGTAAAATGTAATATTTTATTAAAAGCTTTAAGGGACTGATTTTCCCCCCCACACAGCTAAAGATGAGTTGCAGGGCACTGCAGATGCTAAGCATGTCTGCAAATAATCATAGAATCACAGAACCAGAAGTGACCTTGAGAGGTCATCTAGTCCTGCCCCTGCACTTGTGGCAGGACTAATTATCTAGACCATTCCTGACAGGTGTTTGTCTAACCTGCTCTTAAAAATCTCCAATGATGGAGATTCCACCACCTTCCTAGGCAATTTATTCCAGTGCTTAACCACCCTGACAGGAAGTTTTTCCTTATGTCCAACCTACACTTCCCTTGCTGAAATTTAAGCCCATTGCTTCTTGTCCTATACTCAGAGGTTAAGAAAAAACAAATTCTTTCTCCTCCTTGTAACAACCTTTTACATACTTGAAATGCCCTAGTATGCTTTCACACATTTGAAAGGATTGGTAATTTGCAATTAGACTAGTCATAAATTCCCTGATTTGGGGGATCTCTTGGTTTGATTCATGCTGCTGGGCTAGGGGGCACCTGGGCTGTCACAGATCTGGTAAGTCTGCCATGAGCTCATTTCCAGTTAGATTTAAATGGAGTTGCACCTGCTGACCTAGCACTGAATTTGGCCCTGGATTTAGGAGGGTTTTCAAATCTGTGTTACATTTGGAGAAGACTAAGTCTGTAGAAATTCTGCCAGGCTATTTGATTCATTATCTACAGAACATTGTCATCTTGCTACTATTGCTTATATCTTGTTTTACAGTTTCATGTAACTAGAATAATGTAAAAACAAAAATATGCATTTATAAACCAGGAGATCGCACTATATTAGAGCCAGATTTGCTTGTCCTAAAATGGATGGAGTTGCAACCCTGTCCACATGTTCCTATCTGAAGGTTTCGTCAATTTTTGGGGGTTTGGATGGTTGCTTATTATATGGCCCAGACTCAGTCCGCTAATAATAGAACATCTGTGGAATCAGTTCTTTAATCAACAGGGTCCTTTGGTTTCCATTATTAAGTAGATTGTGTTTGGCAAAATACTGAATATGCAAATACTGTGTCTCCCACACAGGCTATTTTCAAGACCTTAAAAGTAGTTATGGAAGTGAGGAGAATAATAGCTTGCTTTCAACCCTGGGGTAAACTGACAGAAAATCATTCAGATCTGACAGCTGTCTATAGTCACATGTGAAAAAAGTTTCTTCTCTTACATAATTCTTGACTATATCCTGCTGTCCAAATGAAATATCACTGGAACTGCTCCATCAAGAGAGAAGAGGGCAATCCATGTTATGTGTTTGTTATATTGGTTTGTGTTAGTTGGAATTATGTCTGATTATTTTGTAACAAAGTATCTTCTGTAATAGCTTGAAAACCACAAAAGTCAGTGTTTGCACAAGTGATAAAACATTTTTTTCTAGTCTGTATAAATTGAAAGGATTTGTTTCTTTTGCTAATTAATGGGCTAGTTAAACTTGCAACAACAACATTACAATTGTACTGAGGTCTTTATTGTAACAAAACTGCTGCTTTACTCTTAGTGCTATGACTTTTGTGACCTTGTCCTAGGTAAAACACACAATGTAAAATGGTATTCTAAAGCCACACATAGTCCAATCTGCATAGAGCACATTGAGTAATTTGTGGGTTTGTTCTTTCACGAAAAACGTTTATAGCTTTTGTCTTTAAAAATAGTTCTGGAGCATAGCAAGATAGAAAAAGCTTTGGCCTAGATATTGCACAGGATGGCAGATGAACAGGGTGGATTTCATTTTGGGCATTTTGCCCAGGACACTTTTTATAGAACATAGTTACTCTAAGGGTTCTTAGGCTGTAGTCACATCAGTTTTATGCATTATTCTTCAACAGGGAAATTCGCTCACAAGCTAGGTACTTTCATGCATCTTAATTTTTATAGTTTAAAATTGTATCTGTGGTACTAGGACTGCTGATATTTTCTTGTGATTCTTTGTTAGTAGAATGCACTAATTCTACAATAATGACTTTATCCCAGCTGAACATTTTGAAACCTGTTTTACACTAAATTATCACAGCGTATTTTATTTGTTTTGAATTCCATGCTCTCCATCTGTGGATCTAAAAGCACTTTACAAATATCAATGATTTTTGCCTCATAACATCCCTGTGAAGGGTATCAATAAGAGCTAACCTCATTTTATAAATGGGAAAACTTAGAGATAAGAGAGTGTAATCATACATATAAAAAAAAAAGTTAGTAATTCAAAGAGCCTCAGTTCTTCTGCGTTCAGCTTAAGAGACACCTATGGCCTGATTTTTCAGGGGTATATCAAGTTGAACATGTAAGAATTGAGAGACAGATTAAGTAAATGTGATGATCTGTAAGGCTCGGGATTATTATGCTTTACTTTTTAATAAGCAAAAATTGAACTCCTGTTCGCTAATTCTAGCTGTGTGCCTTTTATGCTAGTTCTATGTATGACAGTCCTTCAGCTGGGTACACGGAGTGAAGAGTTGACATTAAAAGAGATCAAACGTTAAAAGAGATCAGTATTTTAACTACTTACAACCAGTACTTAAATTAAGAGTCTTTTCCCTATGGCCCGTCTCAATTTCTCTTTGCATTTTTCTGCCCTTTCCCATTATAACTGAGAACTCCATGAGTTCAAGCTCAGAAGGGACCACCAGTCTGACCTCCTGTATGTCACAAGCCACCACCAGCACTGCACATTATCCCAACAACCAAAATCAGACCAAAGTATTACAGCCCTCAGGAGATTAGACAATTATGTGCCACAGGCAGAGAATAGGAGGCACCAATCAAAGTGCACCAGTGCTCGAGGCCCCTGCAATGGCAGGGAAATAATTAAATGAGACATACCCAGACAATTGTGGCAAGTGACCTGCACCCCACGCTGCCGTGGAAGATGAAAAACCCCCAAGGTCACTGCCAAACTGACCTGGGGGAAATTCCTTCCCAATGCCGCATATGGCGATCAGTTAGACCTTGAGCATGCGAGTAAGAACCAGCCAGCCAAGCACCTGAGAGATAGAATGCTTGGTGCCATAGGCGCCGACTCCATGAGAGAAATCAGCGGGTGCTCTACACCCACCAGTAGCCAAGCTCCCCCCATCTCACCACCTTCTCCACCCACCCCGAGCGTGCCGCATCCCCACTCCTCCCCCTCCCTCCCTCCCAGTGCTTCCAGCCTGCCCGCTGCCTAACAGCTGTTTGGCAGCACTTAGGACTTTCTGGGAGGGAGGGGGAGGAGCGGAGATACAGTGCACTCAGGGGAGGAGGCAGAGAAGAGGCAGGGTAGGGGTGGGGACTTGAGGGAAAGAGGTGGAATGGGGGCGGGAAGTGGGCAGGGTTGGGGTGTGAAAAGGCAGGGTGGGGCGGGGACTTTGGGGAAGGGGTGGAATGAGGGTGGGACGAGGGTGGTGCAGGGGCGGGGCAGGGTGGGGGGGGTGTCGAGCACACACTGGGCAGAGGGGAAGTCGGCGCCTATGCTTGGTGCCACCTCAGAGCCCTGGTTAACCCCGTACAATGTCCCATTTCCAGATGTGGCCATCCTTGATACTTCAGAGAGAGGATTTTTTTGTTTAAATACTCTGTAGAATACATGGGGGTGGGGGTGGGGGAATTCATTCCTGACCCCTGCAGGTGACTCGCTGAAACCCTGAAGCATGAGCTTTAGGATCATAGGACTCTGTAATTCCTGTGTGTTCACTGGTTAAATTCGGGGGGGGGGGAATAGAACACTTAATTAAAAAAAATGTAATTGCCATGGTGACGTGAATCAGAGGTAACTGGAACATTAATGATAATACCTTACCACTGCCTTTCATCTTAGGAGAAGAAGGGCAATCTTGTGGCTCAAGCCCATGAATAGATAGTGGGAGACCTGAGTTCTACTCTCAGACTGCCACAAATGTCTTGTCACTTTGAGCAAGTCATCTCTCTGTGTCTCAGTTTCCATCTGTAAAGTGGGAATAATAATGATTATCTACTTCACAAGGATGTAGTTCAGTTCTGTAAAGCTCTTTGATGTTCTTGGATGAAAGGCATTCTCATGTAAGTGCAAAGTACTATTATATTAACTTTATTATTATCCAAGGATCTACACAAATTTTCAAACATCAGTTAGCCATTCTAGCCCCCCAGTGGGGCAAGTAAGTAGAAATGAATGATTTCCAAGTTCCAAATGGCTAAACAGAGGTATAGAGAGATGGAACTGACTTTTCTGATGTCTCATGGTGAGTGATTGGCAGAACTGAAAATAGAACCTGGGAGTCCTGATTTCCAGTTCTCTGCTAAATGCTATCTAAACAGGAGAGTTTATTGTATACAGTTACAAAGTGTGATAAGGCCATTTTTTTTCATTCAAATTAAATTACAAATATCCCTGTTATGTCTCATTTCAGTTTAAACGATATGTTAATAAACTTCGAAGCAAGAACACATTTTATAAAAAGAAACGTCAAGAAATAGCAGAAATTACAGCCGAGTACGGTATCCTACAGAGAACAGAAGAACTCCTAAAACAACGTCATGAGGCTATTCAGCAACAGTTGGTAAGGCAAAATTCTCCCACTCCCATACAGGCTAGCCGCTACCACAGCGATAACCATCAATACAATGATATGGACATAATTGGTTTGGAATTTTTTAATGTGTTTTAATCTTTAAAGCTCTCTTACTATTATTAGCTAAACGCTGATAAAGCGTGCTTGGTATAGGAATTGTTTTAATCTGCCGGTTATACTCGGCTATCATATTTCATGACTAGAAATAGTTTCTTATGGACAGTAGTACAAGCTCTACTTTTTTTTTCTTGAGTCTGATGGGCCTAATCCTGCACTCAAGTGAAATCATTGGCAAACATTTTATTGACTTCAACAGAAGTGGGACTAGGTCCTTAATTAGTGGAAGGTAAGCTTTAGTATATTTTGAGGGCTTTAAAATTACTTTATCAACAATAAGGTACTGATACAAGCTGTCAGAGATACTGGAATAGTATTTAAAAACAGCAACAACAACCAAGCATTAAGAAGCAAATGTACTTCACAGTGGTTCCTGAAGTAAGTTAGAGAATATGTATTACTCAGAAATTGAAAACTAGCCAAACTCGGCTTCTACCACTAAACAACAAGAAAAGGATTTCCCACACCAATCAAGGGCAACTGAATATGCATGAGTACAGAATACAAGTCTCCAGGGAATAGACATCCATTCTAATTGCACTAGAATTTTATGGCAAGATAGATAATGTACATTAGTTATCCTGCAGTAAAAAACACACCTTTTTTGGCAATGAAGGCAAAGCCTATATCTAATGCCATACAGCTATTAAACCCCATAAAATGCTCCACACCAAAGTGGCTGTAGATATTATAAGATTAATGTTTTTAAAACCACTAGAGTTGAATGGGGTTTTTGTAAGACTGATCCACTTGGAGTTGGTATATATGTGTCACTTTTAGAGAATTAATGCCCTGCATACTAGTCTACCATGACTGCTTGAGTAGTCGCTCAACATTCTGTGTTAACTTACATTTCTTTGCATATTTAATGATCAAATACTGTAACCACTGTGTGAATGAAAAGGTAAAGTTTTGTTAGACTGTGAATGGAATACAAAATAGTTAAGAGAATAATTTCTCTACTGTATTACATCCCAAATATTTTGAAGAAATGTATGGGAAAAATAGCTTTATATATTGAGGCATTACCTTAAGCTATTTTCTTCTCTTAAAAAACATGATTGGAGAATACAGTTACAAAACAGTTCAGAAATATTGTATTCTGTTCTCATTTACAAAGTAGTTTTTTTTATAGAATTAGCTATATTTACTACAGATTACATCCTCCAAAATAGACATCCCTCTTTTTATATATTTGTTTGCTGCATAGAAGATCTGATCCAAAACCCACTGAAGTCAATGGGAAACGTTCTTTTGATCTCAGTTGGCTTTGAATTAGCCCCAGATAGAGGTCTTACAGAAAGTAGTTGTTAACCTACCATTTGAACAGAATGGCAGATACTTTAGTTAGCTCTCATGGCAGTCATAGAGTTTCATCACTCTTAAAATAAACTGATTCCAGCACTTAGCTTCATTTTCAGCGTTCTTGCAACGTTTCACTTACATTAGAGAACGCACTCCATGGTCTGCCAGCACCTGTCCTCACATTTTGTATTTGTTTCCTATGTCCACAGCAAGCTATTGAGGACAAGAAGGGTATCTCTGGATACAGTTACACACAGGAGGAGTTGGAGAGAGTATCTGCAGCAAAGAGCGAGATGGATGAAATGAAGGGACGAACATTAGATAACATGTCTGAAATGGTGACTTTGCCTAATTTAACTATTGGATTTCTGCAAGCTGGATGTTTAATTTTAGAAAAAATAAAATCAGGATTAACATTTCTGGCTCAGGTTTTAAAATAGAATGCAATGTATGTTTGTAGAAGTACATTTTGCAAATACTTTTGGGCAATGTACAGCTACAAAGGTGACCTGGAAGAGATTTAGTAAAATTGGGCGTGTGCCCCTTTTTGATGTACAAAGACTGGCTTTTTAAAAAGTGTGTGTGCGTGGGCAATGTTTTCTGATCGTTTTTCCTTTAGAAATATCAGGGGTATCAAGTCTAGGCTTCCTTGGTTTGACATTTTTGTGATTTCAGGCATTGTCTATTGTTAGTATTGGCACCTTAATTGAAAACATGGAATGGGATTGAAACTTAACAAAGACTCCCTTTTCCAAAATGTGATTTAATCACTGGAAGTATATAGTTGTTGTTAAACTCAAAACATAATGAGTTTTAAACAGCCTGATTAATCCCTTCCCCCTCTCAATTGCTCAACTTTCAACTGTCATGAATCTTATGATATCATCATTTAACTCATAAAGGCAAGACAGGACTTGAATTTCTAATGAAAAAATCACACAGAAAAAATATTTATTTAAAAGCTTCTCAAGCCTTCTTTATTTATACATAGTAAAGAAACAACAAAAAAGGGCATAGGTTGTTCTTTTACACTTTGCAGGTCCCTTTTTAAACTGACTGGTGAAAATAAAAAAGCATTCTTCTCAACCAGGAGGCTGGATATGATTTGAACAGTTGGGCAGCGTCATTTCATTATTTCAAAATATTTCTAGTTTTCAAAGTGTTTTACAATCATTTCTAAAGCAATTATAAATGTACTTGCAAAAATCTCATTGTTGCTGAACCAGTAATAGGAAGCCCCGGAGCAGGAGGGATTTCCTGCTCTGGAATGTCCTGTCAGAGGAACATTGAGTACTCAGATTGATTTCTATATATTTTTATCAGGGGAAGCCCCAGCCTGTCTGCACATTTGCAGAAAATATAACGTTAGAATCCAGGAGAGAGACTACCTGGTCGGTGTCTAACCAATTTAAAATTAGAAGAAGGACTAGGGATTGGATTGGAATTAGATTGATGGAAAGCAAGAGGATCACACAAGTTTCTTGGGAAGCAAGAGATTGCCATAAGTTAAATAAGGTTTGAACCTCATAAATGTTTGAGGTTCTCCTATCTTTACTGCACAGATTGGTTCCTCTTTATAACACTTCATTGTAAAGCTATCCCTATTAAAAGGTTTTTGTACTCTAGATTACAATTTGTATTGGTCCTAACACAACTTCCATTGAAGTGAGTTCATCCATTAAGTTCAGTGGGCGTTGGATTGGATCCTGTGTTCATGGAAATGCTCCCTCTTTATTACACGCTGTACAAAATACCCGGTTTTCAGAAACAGTCTTGGGGCAGGTCTATATTAGAAGCGCTACATGGGCATAGCTGCGCTGCTGTAGTGCGTCTGGTGAAGACGCTCTCTGTCAATGGAAGAGCACTCTCCTGTCAGCATAATTACTCCACTTCCAGGAGAGGCGGAAGCTAAGTCGGCAGGAGAGCGTCTCGCGCTGGTGTGGACAGTGCTTGGGTTGCTGTGATTTGCATCGCTCACAGGGGGTGTCTTTTTCACACCCCTGAGCGATGTAAGTTAAATCGACTTACGTGGTAGTGTAGACCTGCCTTTGGAGAGAGAGGACGAAATTTGGTGTAAATAGGTGTAATTTTATATCTATCCTGATGAAGAACATTATAAAATATCAGTAGAAGATTTGATACTCTTATTTAAAATATATATTTATTCGTAGCTATTTTCTTTTTGTCCACCTTATAGATCAGTAAATGCAAGTAATGTTCGAAGCTGATTAGAACTTTTTCCATTTTTTCGGTTCTTTTCAGGGTTTGACAGGCCATATACCTGAGCTAAAAAGGTTCAGAGACCTTTATTCACAATAACTTCCAGTGTAAGCAAGGCATTAGGTTGCATAATCAGCAGGATAGAATTCATCTATATACAGAATAAACAGGCAATTCAAACCATGAGAGCAGAGCTGAAGTAGATTGTGATGGTACCCCAATTATAAAATGTACTATGTTTCCTAATTATCGTTTGCCTATCATTTGTTTTACGTAATATATCATTCAGTTCCCTTTCTTCACATCTCATACCTGTTTTCTCCCCATATCTTTCCCTTCCTTTTCTTTGCCCTCCCATTCTTAATACTCTCACTGTTTTACTAATCGCATATTCAGGTAATGCCTTTTCTTCATATATCAGGTAAAAAAACTGAATGCTATGGTGGCAGATAAGAAGTCAAGCTTAGCTCCAATTATCAAAGAATTGAGACAGTTGCGGCAGAACTGTCAGGTTAGTAAAAACGTTTAGGAATATATTGTGTAATAGACATTCGTGAACTGTCTGTGCAGTGGGACAAATTTTCAGAAATCACCTCTAAATTATGCTTTGCAGTTTTGCCCATGAAATCAGGGGCACATCTGCGACCTGCTTTACTCCAGATTTATACCGATATAACGGTGTTTGGTTTCAGTAGCGTTACAGCAGCATAAAACTGGTATCACAAGTGGCGAATCAGGTCTGTAGATAAGTCTGTCTGTAAACTGCCATTCAGAAGTCTGTGTCCAAAACTGATTGCATGTGCACATTTAGAGGCTGAGTTGAGGCCCCTATGAAAATGTAAGGCAATATGCATGTTACTTAAGTTTTATTCTTAGTTGTTGGAATCCAAAGAGCTAGATCCTGTGGTGGTACAAGTCCATACTGTCTTGTGGACACAGGTGCTGGGGGTGCTGCAGCACCCCTGGCTTGACGTGGTTTCCATCAGATACAGGGTTTACAGTTTGGTTCAATGGCTCTCAGCACCCCCACTATACACATTGTTCCAGCCCCCCTGCTTGTGGATTTAAACAATTTAATTATAAACCTTGGGGATTCCCCCCCCAGAAAATAGAATGATTTTAATGACAAATAACACTGTCATGTTAGTTACATGAGAGCCTCCTTACAGCTGTATGGAAGGCAAAACCACAATTATACATGATTTACAAACCTCTTTTACCTAGTACGAGACCACAGTCAACTTGGAGGGAAGCTGGAAGGTGCAGATTAGGTAAACTGTGGTGAAACTCTGATTGAGAAAAGCAGTTTGCAACATGAAAGTGGCCAAAGGGGTCTGGAACTCTTAAAAATCAACAATATAGCCATACGATCAGTCTGAGGCTTTTCCCCTCACAATAGTCATTTCTATGGTGATGACATCATCATCACAAAACAAAACATCATAATTAAGCAGTTGTAGCTGAACACACCGGTACCATCTTGAAGACAGCAATTTTATCCATTGGCTTTAGAAAGCTACAGGCCGGGGGGGGGGGAGGGGGAGGAAGAAGTCATCCAGATCCTCAACTGGTGTAAACTGTCCCACTTCCAATAAAAAAATGAAGCTCTGCCCCTTTTTTACCAGCTGAGGATTTGGACACACTCTTTTTGTAATTCATTTTAAAACATGTGTCTGCAAATACAGGATAACTAAATGGGATTTAGTAACAATATGTACTCTTTGTAAGGGGAAGTACGATAACTTTCATCGTTTGCTAAAAAGTTTTAATGTAACATCAATTTTTTCTTTCTTTCTGCAAAGGCCAACCTACTCTTGTTTTATAATGTAAATAAATGTCGACAAAATTGTATTTACCTGGAACATAATTGATCATCTAAACTATCTTGTAGGCTTAATGTTTAAAGAGCAAGTAAAACCTTTGACGCTTTGTGAACAACTTAGAAATTGAATCCACCATGTTAAAGACTTTGGATATAAATATCAAAAGGAAACTTGTATGTTACGTTGTAGTTTACACTACTGATCCTCCAATATGCAGGGCTAGAAGTGATATCCTTGTAATTCTACTCGTATGTCTGCTTGGTTTATGTAAGACACTCTGAGTGTGCCAATAGCTGAGGTTGAAGTGTGAGACTGACAAGAACTTACATTGCTTAGGTGCCTTATGTGACTAGACTGAAGTTTTCGTTTACATGACCTTCTGCCCTTTTCACACCAGGAGTTAACCCAAGAATGTGATGGAAAAAAAGGCCAGTATGACAGCTGTGCAGCAGGTTTAGAAAGTAATCGCTCCACACTTGAACAGGTAAGATTGTTATTACTGCATATTTACAAACTAGGAAGAATATAATTCATTATGGGATAAATTCCCCCACCCTGTCTCTGGACAGGAAGGATGGCCCAGTGAGTGGGGCACTGGTGGGAGACCCAGGCTCAATTTCCTGCATTGCCACAGACTTCCTGTGTGACTTTGGGAAAGTCACTTAGTCTCTCAGTGCCTCAATTCCCCATCTATAAAATGGGGGTCCCAGAGAAGAGATGGGAATTGGAGGGATAAAACCGCCTATTGAAATGTCATGGAATGATGCCCTTGTAACTGGGATAAACGCAGACCCTGCTTTCTGGACAAGGAAGACCCCAGTGCATGCAGGTTGGGAGTGACTTGATTTCCCCAACTATGCATTTCCAGCTCCATACATCCTGAGGTGCCTAGGTCTATCTGGAGTTGTACACATCTCCTGTTTGAGCACAACAAATGCATTGAGTGGGTCTTCCAGGCCCATCCAATGGAATCTTGTCCTGACCAGCAAAATTCTTTTTGCAGAAGATGCATCTGCCAGAATCCCTGCTCACTCATGTAGCACCTGCTAGGATAGCATTTGGCTGTTTGAATGTTAATGAGTTATTACCAAGAGAAATCTTCAAATGTTTATGTAACTGGAATGCCATTTTCACTAAATTAGCAAAACAAAACCAATGGTTAATGGATAAATGTAATGAAATGTTAAGCAGCTGCTATCCATAGGCATACAGAGTAATTGTTTTCCCTGAGAATTTAAAAAATGCTTATAAAATGTGCCTGTTTGCATATTGGATAGATTACAGATATCACTTTTTATAAATATCCAAACATATACTTGTATGTCTAAGTGCTTGTCTACACCTAAAATGCTACAGCAGCACAGCTGCTCCGCTATAGTGCTTCAGTGTAGACACTACCTATGTCGGTGGGAGGAGTTCTCCCATCGCCGTAGGTAATCTGCCTTCCCAAGAAGCAGTAGCTAGGTCGACGGAAGAACTCTGTCAGCCTAGCACTGTCTGCCCCCGGGGATTAAATCAGTATAGCTACCTCTCTTGGGGGGGGTGGATTTTTCACATCCCTGAGAGATGTACCTTTACTGAGGTAAAATCCTAGGGTAGACCAGGCCAAAACCAGGGATTGTATACACACAAGTTTTGAACTGCTTTAACTATATCAATTTACAAACTGATGTAGTTAAATCCGTGCAATCCCCCAGTGTGTATGCAGATATACTAGTATAAACATCCTTGTAGTGGTCTAGTTTCTATTTCTGGAGACCAACCCTAACAGTTTTGTCTAGACTTGAATTTTAAGTCCTATTCTAACATGTTAATTGATTGTCAGTTAACGTGTTAGCTAACATGATGGTACCTTCTGATGTTGACATTTCACAAATGTGTTCCAGGACACAAACCCTTATGACGTGAATAAGAACTAGGATTTGAGTCCTGGAACACATTTATGAAGTTTCAGAGTAGCAGCCATGTTAGTCTGTATCCGCAAAAAGAACAAGAGTACTTGTGGCACCTTAGAGACTAACAAATTTATTAGAGCATAAGCTTTTGTGGGCTACTGCCCACTTCTTCGTGGGCAGTAGCCCACG